TACAAATACATGACATTCATTAAATGACTGGCATTAACTTAATTGGTGAATCATACATGTATTTCAATTCAGTATTAATATATCCTTATACTAACTTATTTGGTATACATATACATATGAAAATTGAAGTGTTTCATTAAATGAGTGGTAATACTATAGTCATGCATTAGTGAGAGAATAGAGAAAGCCAAGGTACAAATTGCCATTTTCCTATACGTTTGTTCATATTCATTAGCGGATAATAAGAATTGATCATGGCTCAGTGACATGTTTGAAAATATGTCTAAATCTACAAGGATCATGTTTAATTAGATTAAAGGTGAGAAGACCAAATTCTGGATGAAATTGATTTCATTGAATTATGATTTATAAATTAATTACTAACCATAAATTATCAGAAGCTTCTTTTTGAATAGCTTGTCGCTGAACTAATATTTTAACTCACAATAGATTTTAGCATTAACAGTAGTCTTTGAATCATGTTTGACTAGTATGCTGTTTCATATATGATGTTGACCTTGAGTCATACATTTTTGCCAGCTAGGATGATAATTGGAGATGAGTTGTAATGACAAAAGACAAAAATATAAATATAATAATTCACATGTCAGGGCCTAGGTCTTAAACGAATCAAAAGTTTAGGGACTAAGTTGCTTCAAGACATACATTGTTACATGAGTTATAATTTAAAGGATTAAAAGATTAATTTTTTTATTTTTTAACATCTAATTATAAAACATGATTTTTGTTAATCTACTGTTAAATTATAAATGTATGTGGTATAGTGCATATCAATTTGCGAGTTAAGATCGATTTATATATGTTTCTTTGGTTGCTTAGTGCTTATACCGAGGGAAAATCACATTGATGATAAGGATTTGATAATATGGTGGTTTAGTCTAAACAGCTTTTATTTTCACCTTTCTATTTCACTTTTCACCTGTTTTTAGTTCTTTTGCTATGCCACATATTTTACTTTTAGGTCATGTATCGGTCTGTTGGTAGAAAAGAAAAAGTTGAGAAGAAGTTAGTTTATGTTTATTATAACTTGTATTTGTTATTGAATAATTTGTTATTTATTTTTTTTGGGTATTTTAAAAAATTATAAATTAAATGTTATTTTTATTTGGCAAAAGTACATTATTGGTCATCTAACTCCCATAAAGTTTTATTTTGGTTTCTTAATTTTATAAAATGACTTTCTAGTTTTAAAACTTTAACACCGTTGCCATGAATTTCATTGACAAAAGTTGTCAATATTGAAATTTTACATTTTGACAAAATATTTGCAAATGTTAATATATTGAATTTAATTTATTAAAATAATAATGATTGTCACACAAAAAAGTCGTCAATTGAAACTAATAATCTTTGTGTTGTAAAAAAAAAAAAGAATAAGGCTCGAAGACTGAAAAAATTCTTTATGGAATTACGGGATCAAATTAAAATTTTATATAAAGTTAGAGAATGTAATGTACTTTTTTTTTCCAGATTTTTTTTTATCTCACTTCATTTTCAATGCTGGCAAGTTTTAATTTTGTTTTGTAATTGAAAATTAATACCCAGCCACCTTTTTTTTTTTTTTTTAACCTTCATACCTAAACACGTTTCATTTCCACTTTCTTTGCTAAGTTTCCTTCTTTCTTTCTTTTTTAAAATGACGATAACAATGTTAGTTTCGCTCATTTTGTGTGTGATTTCATGGAAATAAAAAACATAATTTTTGAGGAATTTAAAAGAAAATACGGGAAACTATGAGGCAAGTTGCCTTCAAATATTTTTAGCTGTTTAATTGATGTCATTTTACGTTAATAGCTGGGACTTGTGACTTATAAGGTTTTTTTTTCTTTTAAATGAAATATTATGACGTTTGAAATATTTAAAACTCTGTTTGGTCCACAATACAAGACGTCCTAACTAATTTCTCATTAAAGGTATCAAGATAAAAAATGGTAGCTTACTCATTAAATTTGTCTAAAATTACTTTCTTTTCCAACTCTGCCAATATTAAATAAGTTTGTAAAAAACAAAAAAAAGAAGTTGCATTTAAACAATAATTATAAGGATAAAATTGATAAATAAGTATTAATTACTCTTCAAAGGATTTATATTTTGAATCAAATCATTCTTTTAATAAAAAATATAAAAAGTACATAAGTAATGTGAAATTATGGTACCTTATATCTTAAGAAGTATTTTAATTAACTTTTTAAAAATAATTTTATAAAATTTAAAAAACACCCTTTTATTTATATATTATGGTATATTATTGAAACATGATGTGACTTTACAGCAACCAAAGTGAAAGCCATATAGACCATAGAATTCGTTGAGTAAAGCAGTCAATCAAGCCACATAGAACGTAACGAAACGTGTTGAAAGGTCACATTTGACTACAAGTTGACGTTATTATCTATAAATACTATTTTTTTTTAAAGCTTAAGTCATAATTATCTGCTCCACTTATATTAAAAAAGTTGGTTAAAGTTAGTTTTTGTCATAAAAAATGTTTTAAATTAGTCTTTCAAGTTTAATCCTGATAGTGAATATTTCTTTTTTATTTTTTAATATAATTCATAGTATCTTTGTATTATTTTGAGCTCGAGGTTAATTTCAATTAGGTCGAAAGCGTTATGATTAAAGTCGTTCATACAAACATGCTTCTCAGAATTTAAACTTGCATTCTCTTCTATATGGAGTGAGAGTGTGAGACTGTTTACCATCTCAGGTTTTAACTTAAAAACAAAAACTTGCGGATAAAGATATTTATTAAAAACAATCATTTAATGATATAGAGATGGATATTTTGGATTCTAACATTTAGAAAAGACTTATATTTGAGTTAGGAGATAATAATGTTTTTTTTAGTATGTTGTTCATTATTTTTTTTTAATTACGATAAAAATTACGTGGATTGGTTTTTGATAACTCTTTAATGTTAGGACATACCTTATAATTGAATAAACGCTGCTTACAAAAATATTTACATACTATAAAGATATTTATAATTTATAGTAAGGTTCAAACTCAAGTCTTTATAATATTTATCGAAGTGTAAAGTAAAAGATTCTTGCATCGGCCTTAATTAAAGTTTAGTTATTTTTAATTTTTAGATTATTGAGAATAATAAAAAATTGATAACGTGTATAAAAATATTTCGTTATTAATTTATTTAATGTTTAATTGTATTACAAATGATAAATTTAGAAAAGAAAAAGTTCCTTTTTAAATGTAAAAAGGAAAAAGCTAGGAAAATGTCAACGAACTGAAATAATACTCGTATATCTCAAGTATAACTCTATGAGACTCAAAAAAGTTAAAAATTGAAACAAAAATGTTATGAGACTAACGAATAATGGAAAATTTTTTTTGGTTACAAAAAAATTTAAGTGAGTTAGATCTCAGAGGCTCACCAGAGTTAGATTATGTCTTCAGACTCAGAAAATACTTACAGAGATATTTAAAGATCGCTCACTGATAAAATCCGCACATTATTCATATGTAATCTTTTGATGAAGTAATAATTTGATAAAACTAAGATCGGAGATACGCCTATTATTCATATATTTTATGATGAAGCCCAATCCAGCCCAAAACACAAATATACAAACTGAGTTTTTTGGTTAGACATGCAAACCTGAACCAGCTGGAGCAAGCTTATTGATGTCACAAAACATTGTGCCCAACTCATTCAGTGCAAAAGGCAGGCCCGTTATCCTTTTTGTTACAAGCCTGGCCCATTATCTTTTGCTTGCAGCCTTTTCCACACAAGGCCTATTCCAAAAAAAAAAAAAACACTGTCCAAGGCATGTATTTGATGTGACTCGAGTCAGATGTATTGTTTCTAACAAATTTAGGGGTATATTCATAGTGAAAACATTAACTAATCTGGATACTCTTTCTAAACTTATTTATAATAAATAAATCATTAAATCAGACAACTAAAAAATATAGTTAAAATCAATGAATATGTTTTTTTTCTTTTTTTGCAGACTACCCATAATAATTGTTTCACAGGGTAATTGTGTATTAATTATGCTAACTTAATTAGGATAAAAAATTTAATTAATATAATGGACAGTAGTTAGTTTAGTTGTTTTCATTTATGTCTTATATGTTAAGTATATTAAAAAAATTAATTAAGTGAATTATTTGTAATAAATGTGTGTTAGACTTTCCTAAATTGCTATCTTTAATAATGTATATTAAAATTATTTTTTGATAAAGACTTCTTACCATTAATAAGATATGCTAAAGAAAAATTATAAATTTTAAAGTTAAAATAAATTAAAATTTTAATACTCCTTTGGTCCTTAATATAAGACCATTTAACTAATTTGATTAGATTAAGAAACTTAGATAAGTTAGTTAATTATAAGAAATGTGATAGGTTTTTTCTAAAATATCATAATCATTTTTCTTAATACCCCATCTTCCTCTTCTGCTTGATTATAGTTGAAGGAGTATCTAGAAGGATAATTTAGAGAATATTGGTAAATATAAGAAATGATTTATATATTTAAAACTAAAACCGACTTAATAATTAAATTTTATATTAAGGAAGTACTCCTCCGATCCTTATTATAAGACCCCATTTGACTTTTTATTTGGTCCTAATTATAAGACCCCAATCCATTTTGTTTATTATATTTATGCATTTTTTTCCAAGATAATCCTTCTAATAATGATAGTTTTAGCCAATATACTTAATTAGCAAGGATATTTTAGGAATGACAACACTTATTTATTATAAATAACCAACTTAACTTACTTTCTAATCTCCTCAAAAAAGTCAATTAGGTCTTATAATTAGGACCGGAGGAGTATTTAAAATCAAATTTAATCCAAGTACTTACTCACGTATAATTACTTGACGGCTTGACTGAACAAATTCAATTCAAGATTCAAAGTTCAAACATCGGTTGCTAATTTAACCGTCGGTTATGGTCAGAGAAGGCCAAATTTCAAGATTTCTTTTCCTTCCATCATCGTCGTTACTCGTCACCTTTTCCCTCTTTTCAATTTGCGTTCCCTCCTTTTTTTGTTTTTTCTTTTTAGGGTTTTAGTGTGAAGAAGGTAGGTCAACACTGCTCTCCTTCTTTACAAGTCTCTCTTGCTGCAAACTTGACATAACTCAATGCAATTTTGAAACTTTTCCAAATAATTCCATACCTCTCGTCAAATAACCCCCCCGCCATGGCCATAGATCCCAATTCCACCACCGCCAGCGCCGCCGCTACGACTGTACCCGCCGTTGCAGCCGCGACAACAATGGCGCCAGCTCGTCCTTTGACGAGTCCACCGCCATTATCAAGACCTATATCTCAGCTTTCTCAGCCTCCTCCCATACAACTCCATAACTCTCACCTTTACCCGTCTCAGCCCTTCTACGCGGCACAGTCGCTTCCCATCAGGGCACAAAACCCTCATTCCAATTCTCAGTTGTCTAAAGCCCATGATTCTGTGCCTCAGGGTGTTCTTTACCCTGTTGCCTCGTCTGGCCGTGGATTTATTCCCAAAGGGGCTCGACCTTTATCCACTGATCAGATGGTCACCGTGGCGAACCCCGGTGTTTACCCACCGCCTCATTCTCTGGTGTTTCCCCCTGGTGTTCGGCCCATGGGTTCGCCTCATTTAGATTATCATCTGAGTTACCCCTTGCATTTGGCGAGGCCTCCCAATATGCAGTATGCTCATCCCGGTTTGGCTGGAGGGGCTGGCTCTGGCCCCTTTAAGGGTGTTCCGGTTTCTGCACACCCGAAGGTTTGATGATAATCCGGCTTTTAGTTTAATGGACTATAGTTTCTGTGGCTTCTTAATGCCTTAGGATTTTGAATTATGTTAACTGATTGCAAAGCATAGCTCACTTGAAGATGCTAAAAAAATATACTTTACTCTTGCAAATTGGCATGAGGTTGAGGGTGGCCACAGTCAAAATATTATGCTTTGAATGTATATCTTCTCTGAGCTTTTTAGCTTCTACACCAGACTCTTCAATGAAGCTGAGATTTTGCTTTGCTGTACCAAAAATTAGTGAATTTTAAAACCTTTCCTCTGTTTTGATTTAGGTTGCTCCTCGGTCTACCAATGGCTATAAGGATACCAGGTTATATGCAAGTGACGTTATGTGTACAGTTTCCTTCTGTCATCTTTTCTTCTTGTAATGCTGTAAAATTGATACTACTTTGCTGTGTTATTTAGGGAAAGAAGCAAGGAAGATGCCTTTATCCTTGTCAGAGATAGAAAAGTGAGAACTCATATTTTAGCATTTTATCTTAGAAGCTATATATTTTGTTTGGATTAGTTTTTTAAAAGTGATTTTATGGAGTCATGACAGATTAGAACAAGAATCCTAATGAGTTCATTTATATTTGATTTGTGATAATCGGAAGTTCTGTAATGAATCTCAATAGATTGCAACATATCTAAAATCTTGTCAAATTTCAACGGCATCTGCTCTCTCTATCTCTCTCTCTCTCTCACAAATAAATACCATCTTCCATTGACCTCTTATCAGGTTTTCAGCTTGTTTTTCCATGTTTTGATTCTTGTCTTTATTAGATATATGTAGCTCAACTGGAGATGCTTCTTGCCCGTGTAGTGCGTCAGAATATAGGGATGATTGGCTATTCTTTTATACTAAATCATATTTCATTCATTTATTTGTCACAACTCATTATGTTAGTACAATAAAATAGGCTGTACTTGTGTAGACTTAATGTAGAGACAAACATGTAGAAAGGGAAAGTATGGCAAAGAAGGAATAGAGATCTTGATTACACGGACGTTTGGAAAAAACGAAGCATAGATTAAGAGCATGTTAGATCAAGACATCAATGATTTACTACTTTAGGGGAGATGGGAACTAGTATGCAAAACACAATTATAATGGGTCTTAAAATTCTGATGCTGAAGAAAAGTGATTTAAAAATCTTCAGGTCAAACAAAATTCTAACTGAATAATTATTATAGAACTGTAGTAATAGTTTGTTTTTATAACGTGATCAAGCAGAAAACCCTGATATTTCCTTATACATTCTGTTATGAAAGTGGCGGGTGCAAAAGTAATTACGTAATGATTTATGGGGAACTGAATGATACAAGACACAAGATGAAGGGGGAGGAGGAGGAGACAGGAAAGAAATCTGAGGGAGGGGAAGGAGGGGCAAGAAACTGAGAGAACATGAGGGAGAGGCTTTTATAGAACGCCATGAATCGTTATTAAAAAGTTGCTTCCAGTTCTAATTAAAGAGAGCATAATTCAAATAAAACATAGTGATTTAGAATATTAATTTTTCAATTCTAATCCTAAATAAAATGTTATTTTCTCTACCTAAAATTTATAATTTGCCTCATTCACCTGTACTTGCATGGAGATTTATACATTTATTTAAAAAAATAACACAAAGTTGAAAAAGCAAATCGATTGGTGAAAACAATGAGTCACATCAATAATAGTAGAGTAATAATGTGACTTATTCTACTTTTATATGATGCATTGATGATCTACAATTTACATATGCTAATCATTAATGTATTTCCAAATCCTGATCTCATTCTCCAACCGGAATATTGGAATATTTTCTGGTTTAGTTTTGAACACCTTAATTGATAGCATGTGATAATATTTTGGCTTTCTGTCATAGTGTTTTTCGACATCGTGCTAATTGAATGATGTTTCACTGCTTTAGGTGAGAATTACAGAGGATCCATCTCTCTATGCGCTTTGTAGATCATGGTTGAAGAATGGTGTAATGAAGAAACCCAGGTTTGGTTTATGCCTTTTTTTTTTTTTTTTTAAATTTTCCTCCAATAATGATTCGGCATCTGCTTGAGAGCTCAGCCATGTGATATTGACTAAATGGATATGCCGTTACTAGATTTCTCAGGTTTTATTGTCAAAACAAGTTACAGGATTGGTGGTTCTCCTTTGACACATTATCTATTCTTTGACAGTATACAAAAATGGAATGAACTAGTGCCAATTTACGTCATTGAATTCGTGTACAATCAAAGTTATAAATGCTATACAAGACTCTATCATTAATCTCATTAAGTCTGCGCTGGGGAGACTTCTATTTAAAAAAAAAAAAAATTGATGCCTCAACGAGCTTATCTTCAGAGAAAGCTGTTTTTAAGTATTTAACCAAACGCTGCTTATCACAAGTAAAAAGTTTTTCTGCATATGGTCCTTGTGAGTGGTTTCCTGACTCAACTTAGATGTGGCAAATATGCTTTTCTTCTCTGTGATTTTGTCATTGTTCTGTTAGGGGTGTTATGGCCAATGGCTTATGGTCATGGTGATTAATTGTTTACTTTCATGCCCCGCTTGGTAGCAGGACATTGGAGGGGAAAAAGTGGAAGTAGAAGTGGAACCCATAATTGTGTTTGGTTTGCGCGAAGAGGGTTCCTTAACAAAGTGAGTTCCATCAAATCTGATGGAATAGGGTTCCTTGATTCCTGGTCTTTGATTTTGTTTTTACTTGATTTCTGGATGACCACCAGCCACTGGTGGTGGCATGAAGGTGGTGATGGACGGTCAATTTTGAGATCTGGTGAAGGCTGGGGTTTTGTTTGGGACAAGGTCATATTGGTCTTCTCATATTATAAATAATATTAAAGATAGTATATTAGTTCCATAGGCATGCCAAACACATTTTTAAACCCACTTCCATTTTCACTCTTCCTTTTTTACTCCCATTTCTACTTCCACTTCCCTCAAAAACACTTCCCTATACCAAATGGGGCATTATGCTTCATATGATGTCAATATGTTTTGACGTTATATTTACCTATGCTGGGCAGTTACAACAAGAGGATGTCATGAAGGTACTTCCCAAACCATTGTCTGCATCGGTGGTGGCTGGTTATATGGAAAACAACAAAGAAGATGAAGACGGAGATAAGCAGGAAGAGGTTGGTTTATGTGGTTAACTTCGTATGATCAATAGTTCAAATTTTGTTAAAGGGAAAGTTTTTACACGGAAAATTACTGTCTCTTCAGTAGTGTATTGCAGGATACTGCTGTTCTTGTGAAGATTTTGTTTATGCTTGTGTCAGAAATAAAACTTCTACGTACATTTTATGCGGAAATTTATCTTACTATTCTGAACATCTGAGTTGTACCTACTCATTTCTATTTTCAGGAGGAGAAGATTAATGAACAGTTATCTTCACAAGATCTATTGAAGGGGCATATCCAACGTGCTAAAAAGGTTCGAGCACGGTAAGCTTTTTCCTTTTCAACTTCTAGTTTATTGATCAACAAGTTATGTCTTATGTTTGGCTCATTACATGGTAGAGTTAGCGTGCACGCTCACACACGCATATGAAGATGCCTTTGCCCATCTAATTTCACTAATTATCAATCACCAAATTCTTATGTTTAGCAATGATTTTGTGATCCTGGTGGATGATAAGGTGGATGATAAGTGGTTCTATAATACATGCCATTGAGTTTCTTCTGCAACATTTCCCACTGATGGTATATATAAGGAGAACAAAAAAGGGCTTATTAAAGCAGTGTTATAAAATACCACGCTATTAATGCAGCATTTGGTGTTTCGCTTCGTACATTGTAAATCAATCGTCCAGCATCATTCTATTAAGGATTTCGTGTGCTTTTACATATTTACCAATATATAAACATGTTTTTTATATTTATGTAAATATTTGTGAATTTTTACTTGTCTGGATTTATGGACATAATGACTGTTCAACTTCTATGCTGATATCAGTTGCATATGGACTGTTGCCCTTTAGACCCGTTGGACTGAAAAAAAATCATTCTTTTACCCTTAGTGCTCCCTTTAAGCTAGTTGCAAATGGAAAGTCGAGTCTCAACAAAAATCTTTTAATTAGATGCATTACTAACCCATCAACTTTGTGAGTTATAGTTGGGAGAATTGTTGTAAAGTCACAAAGAAGAAATACACTTGCTAAAAAAGTTCCATTGACAACCGAATAACAGGCAATGACAACTTCTAATACAGAAAATGACAACATACTAATGTTTCTCACTTGTCATTGAAACTTTTTGATAATTATTTTTTTTCTTGGGACTTCATAGTAATTCTTCTCCCTTTATAGTTCCCTAGTTATATTTTAGATTTCATATGCATGTTCCCACCCTTCCCTTTCTTTTAGACCATTTTTTTTAAATATTTAGTCTCTGGCAATTTAATTTCCTTTTGAGTAACTTAAGGCCGTTAATGCTTTTACAAACTCCAGGGTGTAAGTGTTCTGCTGCTAATGCATGCAGACTTTAAAGAGATGAAAATTTTGGTTGCTAATGTTAGGTCCATCTGAAAAGGCTTGCCTTTAAATAGGTGCAACGGCTGCTATTTCTATGTTTGAATTAAAAATGGACACTTCTCATATATTGCGTGGGGCATAAAATGGGGAGAATTTCACTTAATTCCCACAATGTGGACTTAATTTATAAAAAATGAGTGATATTGTTCCCGGTTTGTAAATATCGCATCCATACATTGTATATATTGATAATTAGATTTTCCTATTGGTAAACTGGAGATCCCAATTCCAAGGGGATTCTGCTAGAAGGACGTTTTTCCCTAGCAGATATCTAGTTCTCATCGTTTACTAGAAGGAAGATGATATCATGTGTGAGTTGTCTCACTATATTGTCCTGATTGTAGATTAAGGGAAGAACGGTTACAAAGAATCACAAGGTACAGAAGTAGGCTGAGGCTTTTGCTTCCTCCATCTGTTGATCAGCTCAGAAATGATGCGGCTGCCGGGAACTAACTTTACTAACTTTGCTTGTGGCATCTGAACTGGCATTTGGCAAATCACAGCTGGTACATTGTTGATTTTTGTTCCTTAATCTGTTACCCAACTGTAAATCGTACATCTTAGAATCTCCTCTACTTCAGCTCCCTTGCAAAAACCAGATTTCTTGATTTGGTAATCACATGGTCCGATGTAAATTTGTATAGTTAGTTACTTGGCATAAAGTAAGTGACTTCTGGTGATTGTTCAAATGAAGTTATGACCTTTGGCCTTTGACCTACCAAATCAAAAACTTGGATTGGTACGGGAGCTCAAGAGAAGTTTAGAGGTGTACATTTTACCTAGTCAGGCATTCACAGATGCCAATAGATCAAAATATGAGAGCAAATTTGTAATCTTTTTAGGATCTTCCACCCCCCACCCCCCAACTCAAAGTTGGTAAAAAGGAAATGGACTCAGTGTAGATTGTTCCAACACTCAAACCCCAATGATGCATTGGTCAATCAATTCCCTCTTGGTGACTTTGAAAAGAAAATATGCAAATTGAATTGGGAGCCATTTTCTTTCCCCCACCCA